TATGTGTTGAAGAACTTCAACTTTTTGATGCGGGAAAATGGTGATTGAAGAAGGAGCAATTTTTTTTTTTTGTTTTTTTTCGTTCGTGACAATGGTGATTGAAGATGTTTTGAAGAAGGAGGAGATTTTTTTTGTTTGAAGGTTTGTAACTGAGGGCACAAATGTAACTTACATTTTAATATCATTAACTATTAAATTTAAACTTATTTTTAAATGATGTTTGACCTAAAGGGTTATTTAAACAAAAGATAGTTTTGGGGGAGGTCATGCGGACAAATTCCCACCCAATTTTCATTTATCGACAGTTTTACTATAGGGAAATGTGATTTAATTCTTATTTCCCCAAATCAAAAGTAAATAAGTAAATAAATAAAATCATAGAGTTCTATATTTTATCATTCCTTTATGTAATTAAAAAATAAATATTTTTTCTTTACTTTTTCGTTAAGAGTTCCAAAAATGAATATTCCACACGTACCAAAATGCAGGGAGCGACACTATATATATGCGGCCCGCGCCAATTGCCATATTATCTGTATGACGATTTCGCGAAGATCGACGAAAATGGCGGTGGAGAGCTGCGGTGACATACACGCGCTTCCGGAGGACTGCATTGCCAACGCCATCTCGCTCACAAGCCCTAAGGACGCATGCCGGCTGTCGGCGGTCGCGTCCACCTTCCGCATCGCCTCCCTGTACGACACCGTTTGGGATCGCTTCCTGCCCTCGGATTATCGCGATCTGATATCCCGGGCCGCCGGCGGGCCCGAGTCCTTGCTTTCTAAGTTCCGTTCGAAGAAGGATCTGTATCTCCACCTCTGTGACCATCCGATTCTCATCGACGGTGGGCGCAAGGTCGGTTTATTCCTTTTTTTTTTTAATCTTCAATTATTTTCCGTCTCATATAGATATGAATTAGGAATGTGAACTGGTTTGATTGTTCCCGTGATTAATTTGCTAGATTCTGATTTGTGCTGTTGAATTTGTTACATGTGCGATTAAATTTGAATTTGTGCCTGATGCTATGACTATGAGTGTATATGTGTGCAGATGCTTTCTACCTCTGCTGGTTAGTTTTCCGTTGCATTTCGTAGTTTGTATCGTCTTTTTGGTTTTCAGTTAACATGTTCATGAAGATTGAAGCATTTTCAGTTTTTGTTTGTTTGGATTTGTATAAAATATGTCGAGAAAAACTTGGTGTTTGGGAAGCCAAGAACTATTGTGGCCATGAGATTGTTGATTGCATCAACAGACAGATTGAAAGCCAGGAAACTGGTTGAGAGAAACTGTGTGTACAATTGGCCCTTCTCTTGATAAGTTGTACATTTTAGATCACTAGTACAACATATCTACAATTTACCTTATGACTATGGGAGCTCACGAGTTCTCACTTTTATATTGGTTAATGGTTTCTGTTGAGCCTAAAAATCATTATCGTCAGTGTTTTCCTTTTGATCCCTTGAATATTATTATTGGGCATGGAAAGCGTGAAGCTCGACAGGTCTCTATTGAAGGTTATCTGTATCCTCGTGTCAGTCATAATGTACAGGGTTCTGAATTAGTTTATTGGAAAATGTATATATTAGCATAAAATCTGTCTGATCATCTTATTTTCCCTTGTTTATTGCTTAACAGAGCTTTTCGTTGGAGAAATGTAGTGGAAAGAAATGCTACATGATAGCAGCAAGAGATCTCTATATTGTATGGAGCGATACTCCTCAATATTGGCGATGGATATCTCTTCCCGAGTCTAGGTAATTTTTAGCCTCCTTCTATCCTGGTAGCTTTGTGTTAATCGGTCAGGGTCTTACCACAATATCCGGTCTATCCGGTCTGGGTCTGCAAACGAGTCGAGCCGAGTCGAGCATGGACCTTGTGGAGCTCGAGCTCGATTTTTTTTCATTGCTCGGGCTCGAGCTCGATGAGCCATTCAAATGACACTCGAGCTCGACTCGTGAAACAAACGGAAATGCTCGAGATCGACTCGAGTTCAGCTCGAATCTATGCTACCTGGACTCGGATATGGGTGCGTATCGGGTGTGGAGATATGAGCGTCCGACTTGTCAATAGTTTAGAAATCTTGAAACATTTTAGGCTAAAATGTCACACCCGACACTCATACCCACACCAGTGTTGACACAACATGACACGGGTATTCTTCCTAAATAGAAGAGTCCGGGTAACATAGGCTCGAATTTTAACAAATATACATTTTGTACCTATGACAATTTTGTGAATTAGTATTTAATTATTTTACCGCATATTTCGCGCGGCTCGACCTTTGAAAATTTGGGCTCAAGATCGACTCGAGCTGCTTGAGCTCGACT